ACATCAACGTTGATGCCCTCGTTTCGTTTTCTTATACTATAACGAGATTCTAATGACTGCACGATATTCGATTTCATTCATTTCACACTTTCAATAACTGAAGATAAAACATGACAGCATGCCGGTATTAATGACGGTGAATTCTCTCGCCCTGCTGGTAACCAAAGTTTACTAGATATTGTTGTGATTATGCTTCAGTTGCTCCGTATCCCAAACATCCATACGTTTTCTTGTCGTATCACCATTTGGTACGGGACCAATAAATCCTGGACAACTCATAGGAAAATCTATTGCGTTTCGCAAAGGCAAGAACGGAACGCATTGCGTGCGACAAGATATGGAGTTGGGGAAACATTTCGAAAGTTGGATAAAATATGAAGGTAGTTCGCCCATTTTCATTATCTTTATTTCGAACGGTGACGCCGCGAACGTGTTCTGAGAGAAGGGTCGGCAGGGTTGTAAAATGTCCAACAGGGTAGTATTTCATTGGGGTTAATGTCGATAGGGATGAGCGGACGGGAACGTTGTAAAGGAATAATGGCCTAATTATTCATCGGATTGGTGGGGAGTTCATTGTTGTCTATTTATAAAAGACTAATGAAATGAATTTATGGTGCAGGGAATTGAGTTTTATTGTTGATTGAATGAAAGTGTTTGCCCCCAATAAATTTTGTTCTGTAATTCATTTTATATCGGGTCATTTTTGTGTTTTTGTTGCTCGATTATCAACTACATAATGCTCATGCGGGCATAAAGACAAATAATTATTTTCATTTATACAGGATATATTATTCAAATATCTACTTGACTTAATTTGGTCCCATTCACAATATGCAACTGGCGATTCTGGAAGGATCCGTCAATTTTGCTGTGTCATGTTACGACGAAGTTTAAATCAGCGACTTTTTCAACAGGAAAGCCGTGGCAGGCTGCCTAAAATTTTCAAGTCGAAACTGTGTATTAGTTAGTTTTTTTTGCAACACTGATTTTATTTAATATTGTTTTTCATCATCAGTCTTCTCCGCTGAAAATTTGGTCTTCATACGGTCAGGGAAAGTATTCCAGCAGCCAGGGCCGTAGCGAAAAGAAAAACCAGGGGGTNATACAGTAACCAAGTAACCATTGTCTTTTTTAGTGAGTTTTCGCCTTGTGAAGTGTCTGGGTGGCTTATTGGTGTTCAATCACTGTTCTGAACGTGTCCTGTTGTCGTAAAGGATCCATTTTTCATCAAACGTGATGATTCACTTCAAAAAAGGATAATTCTGGTTGCGCAAAACCAAAGAAAAACATACTTTGAAACATGACAATTTCTGTTGTGCTTTTTGGCCTTTTCAATTGGTTTTGAACCATCAGAAAGCGCATGGGAGCGCAGTTCTTTCGCAATCCCATACATCGTTTGTGATGGGTCAGATTTCGCTAGGATACTCAAATACTCGTCCGGGATTACTTTCATAATATTTTCATATTATTATTTTCTTAATAGAATTGAACTTTGTGGGGAAAAATGAAGGTTCCCATTTGAAAAAGTTGAGATTGTTAATTTTTCTCATTCACTTATTGGACCCTAATTTTTGCGCACCCTGTGGATTATTCAGTGGTCGTGAAAATGATGCGTGATCCGTTCAACCTTCAGTTATCACGATTCACTAGCTGCATATTTTTAAAAATGTTAATTTACATGAAAATGACGTATGTTCGAGAGGCTGCATCTGTCACTTTTTCTAAAAAAACTCGAATAACTCGAAAACGGTTCATTTTGGGTATAGGGTATAATACATGAGTTAGAATCTAAATCATGGGAATAATTAAAAAATGAGGTGAAATACAGAGTGTGCCATTAAAAATAACAAAGATGACGTCACTTCGGGTGAAACCCGAAACGTCACCTCAATGAAAATATTTAAGTTGAATTCTTCATTAGTTCTTCATCCATCCTATAAATTTTCATAATCGCCCTACTTTCAGTTTTCTATATATAGATCGCGTTAACTCGTCAAGATATACCCTGTATGTCGACCACTTTGGGACTCATTTTCGAAACTGAAATCTCCAGAACGAAATGTCACAAACAAACGATGAACATTGTGCTCATTAACACTATCATGGCCAAATACCTAGTTGATTTTTTCGGCTGTTTCAGCTGCGCTTTAGTTCAATTTGAATCGTTACAGAAAAATTGGCCGAAAATCGCATAACAACGTCATTAAGTAATAAGCTGAAAAAAAGGGAAAGAAATGAAATAAAAATGAACAGCATCAATGTGTACAGAACAAAATTCCCAATCGTAAGAATAAATATGTATTGAGATATGGAGCTACAAAAACACATGACTTTGAAACAACCTAATATGGCATCAATGTTAGAGCGTATTTCATATGCTTTTGGCGATTGCAATTGATTATATTATAATTTTCTTATTGAAAATTAAGGTTTCCCTAAATCTTCAACAGATTCAGGACTGAGATCGACTTTTTAAATATTATACGAATATATTACGCTAGCATGCGAATAATATCAGAAGAGAAGAATATGTTTTTTCCTTGAACATAGATATAGCAAATTAGCAAAAGGAAGAGCAGAAAATGAATTGAAAAGGAGATCAGGAAGATCACAGAGGAAGTGATATGACAAAAAAGAGCAGAAAAAAGCAGAAACAAACAAAATTCGATAGGGATAAGAGGCAAAATATATTGTTTAAACAAATGAAGCTGTAATAAATATCAGGTTGTTGTACTTACATTTTTAGCACCGAGAGGCGCTGAGAAAGTTTGGTCAGGAGGAACAAGAGAAACCGTTATGTTAGACGGAAAAATAAAACAGTTGCAAGATGAAGTATCTGGGGTTCGAGGTGGATCGAAACAGTCTGGAATGAAAGACAAACGAATTAAAAATTAACTTTACAGGTGAATAATTCGAAAGACCAACTCGAGCATTACCATATAGCCTACAACCAGTTATGCAGGGAACCTATACTGGTTTCAACGAGGACAGTTTTAGAGTATTATTCTCGTTTGACAAATTGACTTTTGTTAATTGTGAAGTGCTCACGAAATCTTGAAATCTTATATTACACAAATAATTGCTTTTCTGGCTTATAAAAACTGAGAGGTTTTGACATTTCCTAGTAAATTTTATATCCTCATACCTACATTTCAACTTCTGGTTGGAAATGGGTCTGTCTGATACCCCGCCAACAGAACCAATGTCGGCGTTGGAATGTAGAATATATAACATGTAATGTATTTCAGACTGCAGACAAATTTGATGAAATCGAACCAAATTCCTTATTTCAATTAATGACGCATGTGTAATTATCCATTGACTGTACTACACTGGTAAAAAATTTTCCATCGGTACCGGTGGCAATTTAATTACCNAATGCGTTATGATTTCACACATATATTAGATGAATATTTAATTCTCAATGAAAAGTACATTGCCTACTGAAATTACGGTCGGGGATGTGAATTATTCAATAGAGAGAGTATATTTTCAATAAAACTGAAGTAATTTTTTTCGTTCGAAATGAAAATTCCGAGGTAGATTTCAATCATTTTTCCGGTGTATAGTTGAACTCGACATATAGTACGATGTTTTCTATTTTATTGTGTTCTTTGCAGGTATCCGACGTAAATGATGACGTCCGACGAGCTGCCGTCACGGCGCTGGGTTTCCTCTTATTCAGGTAAGTGCCCCTTTCCGTTTCACTTCGACGCCCTTCCTCTTTGCGTTTTCTTTGGGGTAACATATGTTTGTGCTGCACAGTGGTGCGTATATGTGGTGTAAAATTGTACAGTACAATCGTAATTAGGTACTTTTTTTCCGAAACTTGTATAGAAAAAAAATTATAATTGATAACCGTGCGAAAACAAGTGCAGCACTGTTAGACCAATCTCATTAAGGGGGTTCTTCAAGGAACTGTAATGAGGACGTTTTATTTTTGTTATACATTATTCATGGATATCGCGATCAGTGGTAGTATTTTGAGTTTGGTAGATCGATGTCGGTCTATATGATAACCTGAAATTTGTAACAGAACCTGCTTTTGATAGATCTAAGCAACGGTTTGTTTATAACCTTCCAACAGTTGATTTCGAGACAATCCACTATCTTCCCTTTACTTTCCATCAAATGTGATACAGCATTTGAAATGCAATGATACAAGCGATACAAGCACTTGAAATGAGTTGTTTATGTGAAATTATCAAACTATAAAATCAGGGGGCTATCATTACTGTTCAGAAAGATTTCACCGACATCCGAATCAAAATCCTGGAGGCGATCGTTGAAGAATTTCCGACATGTCTTATGGAAGCTGATTTCCATGATAATTTGGTTCAGAATATTAATCGTCAGCCCTTCATCGTTTAGGAGGGAATGTTGCGGCGCGGTTATATTGTGAAAGCCGACGTAGCGGAGCTGTTTACGAATTTCATTGTTCTCGACGTTTATGTATTTCCAACATAGACAATCCCTATTGGGAAATAACACAACAGCTTGAACAACATTCGGTTGTTTTGATAGTTGGCAAGTAGATAAACTGGAATATTGTTTGGCGGTTCAAATGTGAGGCTTTTACTGGTTATTATAAAGCTCAAACTCAAATTCGTGGTGCACTGAGGTGTCTGTCACCCAAAGAGCTAGTGATGGGGGGAGAAAGTTAATTTTTCGGTGGCAGATAAAACCTTATATTTGGTTTATATTTGTTCTGCTAACAAAAGAAAGTGACTACTTGAAAATATCAATAGAGTTGGTATTTTCGCTTCAATCAATACCTGGAGTTTATGCGACGAAACATTTGCTGGATGTAGATATATGCTTGACATCTCCCGAATGCTAAAATTTTAAATGCTAGCAAAATGGCCACATAACTGTGTACCCCGCCTAAACGTTCGGTACCTAAGAATTGTGATGTGTGCCATTGTCGCAATAAGTTTTCGTTTGTAACCTGCGACTACTCAACTAATTTAAAATCACTAGTTTCAGTTTAGGCCTGCTTGTATACTGTTGCTGGTACTTTTTTTGAAGTGATAATTCCTTATGGGAGGGTAAACCGCTTCGTTGCCTAACGCGTAACGGCGTCAGTTTTTCTGGTTTTCCTTTCTTTCACGCATACGTCAACGAAAGGCAGGCTCCTGCACTCTCGTAGGACAGACTCTTGGTGTTTAGTGTGCGTTAGACATATACTAACCGGCAAGCACTAACAGGTAAGCACATAATATTCTTGTATTAAGTGAAACATGGCTTAAATATCACTACCAATAATTATTTTCATTGACCTCGCCACCTGGCCGGGCTTTGAATATCGTTGATTTATAAATTTTTTCATCTTTATCTTAATTGATGGCGTCATTATTACATGGCCGAGCCCCAGTTAATTTCAAACAGTCTAATTCTTCTATCAGGAGGCCTTCTATTGATGTGATCCTACTTAAAGCCTCGTACGCTTGGCCGGCAGCGAACAACTTTGAACCCAAGTATACAACAGCGTGGTCAACCGTACTACCCTGCATTTTGTGAACTGTACAAGCCCAGCATAAAACAATTGGCAACATTCTACGGTCAGCTGTACCATGGCTGAATTTAGCTGAAAATTGCACAGATTTTGGTTGAATAACGTGGATCCCATCTTTGCCGAAGTCGATACGGACTGATGAAATGTCTGTCAAATTTTTTTAAACAGATTTTTACATTTGTGCTCTCCGGAAACAGGGCCATATGATTTCTATTATATGACCGATGACACCATTCACTAGACCCTTAGACACATCAACATTGTATCACAACATCACCTTGGCCCCCACAAATATTTCCAACTCATTAGCAACCCCCCAGTCTTGTTTATATCAGACGGTATAATATTATTTAAATCTATATTATCATTTTTTCTAGTACACTCTATTAGACTATCTTGTGCAATTATTTTTTTACAATGAAAATAAATATGGGTTCTCACAACCTACTAAAACATATATTGTCTTCTTTTTTGAGTCGGGAAGTAGGTATTCAAAGGTAAAAGGTAACTGCCTATCATAAACGAATGCGTCTACAAAATTTCGTGTCCCTGCTATTTACCGCTGAGGCGATCTCTCGTACGGAGCCGATCCTGGCATTAGCATCAGGTCACGTTCATGATTAACATGCATTGTCATTGGTTCTGGACCAGCATGCAAAATAAAATAATAATAATAAATTCAAGTCTTTCACATATGTATGGTACGTAGCTGTTATTGGTCCCGGGAAACTAGAGATATATTTATTCCGAGTGTCGTAGTACGGAGATCTAAATAAGTATAAAATAATAGTAACACCTGGGCTGAAAAGTCATGGGCCTAAGAAAGAAAAGACGTTTTTATTTGTTCAAAATTGGCTTTTTTCATCAACGTAATCTCCATCAAGAGCCACACAATTATTCCAGCGCCTCTGGAATGATTGTGTGACACGGTGCGTGGATGAAACATTCTTGTTTGTTTGCCATATGTGGTCTTTTCTTTGCTATATAATATTCACTGTTGATGGTTAACCAGTTTCTCTCCATCCAGATGACGATCGTTCTGATTCCGGAGTGAAGTAATGGATCCATGTTTCATCCGTTGTTTGTTTTGTTCAAAATGGCCAAACACTGCTCAGAATTATCAAGACATTCTTGTTCTTGGTCGACAGTGGCACCCATTTTGAATAGAGCTTTCTCATAGTCAAATGCTCATGTAGTATAGAGCCAATACGTTCTTTTGATATCTTTATAATGTCAGATAACTCACACAACTTGACTTTTCTTTCGTTCAAAACAATTTTGGGATTTTTTTTTTGTTTTCTGGTGTTACTGCCTCATTTGGAATAAGACTAGCACCATCTATGTGTTAGGTCCGAGACTTTTTAGCCCAGTTAGTATAATTCATACGACAAAGCCGTTTATTTCCCTGCTTTTTGCCATTTCCCTAACTGAATTATTGATTAATATCCAGATCCCATAAAAAATCTTGAACATTTGCTAGTTTGTCATCCCTCATCGAGTAAAAGACTTCCAGAGATGAGAGTGTCGCGATAAAATGACAACGCGACGTTCGGCGAGCCATTTTGTGTAGCATCATTTTACAGAGCGCGTCAAAGCCCCGTCTACGGATATAGAATGTTGATCGAAATCCTTTGACGTCCGCATACTATGCTCAAATTATTCTATAAATTAGCGCAGCGTATTCCGGCCATCGCCGACTTGACTGTCGTCGAAGCTTTTAGAAAAATAATTGAATTCGGTAGGGCATTTTTTGATGTTGGGGATTTTTTCAAGGACGAAACACAAGCACTACAGGTACATCCTTAAGGTGCTCTCAGAGCGGTGCCTGTGCGAAAGTAGCGATTCACATTGGATTTGAAACGCTGGAGATTAAATCTATTTGGAAAAACGTGCTCAGGAAGTTTATTCCACATAAACGCAGTTCACCAGATGAAAGAGTTCACAAACAGTGAAGTTCGAGGTGTACTGAGTTGAACCTCAAAACGATGAGCAGCCACAGTCTGTCGCGTATTTCTGATATGTACTGCTCTTGGTGGAATCAAATGTGCCAAGTCACCTGTCACCTTCCCTGAAAGTATCTATAGAAGAGAGACAAATCTCCATCCTTTCTTCGATGTTTCAGGCTATAAGGTTGCACGTGATGTTCGCGTCTCCAATCAGGCGGATGGATTTTTTCTGTATGAAATTCAGCAACTTCAGGGTATGTTTGGGGGGCAGAGCTCCATACATGAGAACAATACTCCAGAAAATGTCTGATATGAGCTTTATGAAGCATCAACATTTTCTGAGGTGTGTGAAGTTTTCTGGTTCGGAACAGTGTTCCAAGCCTTTGAGAAGCAGCCTTTGCAATTCCAGCGACATTATTGTGCTAAGACACATTGGTGTCCATTTCAACCCCCAACAAACTTATCGAAGCAGAAAGGGTAATTGTCTCACCTGCCATTATTATATTCAGTTCGGAGACATTTATCTTTTTGGGAAAACCGATGCCTGGGTTTTTGTGGAATTGAATTGAACCTGGTTACTTTCACCCCAATTCAAAATCAGTTCTAGATCCTCATTAAGGTATGCAACCTCCTTCTGCCGGTGAAGATGGAATGACGAGACAAGTGTGCTGTCGTCAGCAAAGCAATATAATAGATTTTTGATGATGCCGGACAATAATATGTAGTGTGTATGGATACCATAAATAAAGTGAAAAATATTTGAATGTAATTCCAATAAACGAGTTTCCACAATACATTCCCATTGAATTCAACACCAAAATATCAGGGACTTTTCATCATCAGATTTGTAATGGTATAGTGTCATTGGTACTGAATCAAGTGTTAATGACCAAAAATCGCTGTGTTATAGAAATAAACTAAAAGAAACTTTCATGAAAATACACATTACGGTGTGTTATCATCATACACCGTCTTTCGATAGAAAAAAAAATCGCAACACGTATTTAACCGTACAGTAACTTCTTCAGGCGTATTCATATTAACTTCATTCCTCTTACTCAGTGCTTTTTCAAATTAATATTTTCTGCCTACTTGATGACTAATAATTTCACCTGGGTTTTACATATAAATTAATTTCGCCTATACTAAGTGTATATATTTGAAAACTGGCTATAAATCAAATCATGTAAATGAACAATTCGTTTATGCCAGTCTTCACTTAAC